AAATTTTGATGTGCAACAGGTGGTTGAAAAATATACGTTGAGATTCGAAACGCTGCGAAAGACTTCTGATATGTATTCTTGAATAGCATGACCTTTTATATGTTTTGTTCGAGTGATTAACCAATTTTTAACCAATCGAAAACAACGTTGATTTATATTCGACCAATTCACAGTCATAATTAGAGTTGTTTTCTTAAATCACATATAAATACTCATGAAATACATATAATGAGAAAAAAAAATATTCATATATTTTTTAAAATGAAATAATTTTTTGATTAAAATGAAAAAATTAAACCAAATGATTTGAATTTTTTAAAATATTAGATATAAATAATAAAGATTAATTTAATAAATATATAAAAAAAAATTTTATAAATTGCTATTAGATGAAATTGTGAAAAAAAAAAATAAAAATTATGATTTTTAATTTTTTTATCTGAATATATAATGAAAATTTTATATTTTTATACTTTTTTATAAATTTTATAAATTTAAAAAAGTTATATGCAGAAAATTTTATTAAAATCTATTAATATTATTATGAGTTATACACACGATCGAAAATTCTCAAATTCGCAATTTTTCACGATTTTCAGCTTATGATTATAATAAATTTAAAAAATTTGTTATTTTTCGATATCTTTAGCTTTTTATGCATTTATCGATTTCGATGAAACTTTATGTACATATATATATATACAGTCAGTCACAAAAATTTTTATAAATCTTACGCAAATTCAATTAATAATTTATATTGTCAAAAATATTATATATCACCAATATTTTTGTTTTATATTGTGTATATAGACCATAACCATGTTATATATGCAACAATTTTTTTTAAATGAAATACCACTTCAAGAAAATGAAATCAATTTTTAAAGTTACAATTTTATTATTTCATTTTTTGAAAATATAATTTTATAATAAAAACAAAATTTTGAATTATATTAAAATATTTAAATAATATTTGGATTTTAATATTCTATTATACTATTATAAGAAATATTTTTATGCAAAATTTGAAAAAAAATATATAAATTTAATTGATTTTATTTGAAGAGATGTCCTATCGGAAAAAAATAAATTGCTCCATGTATAATATATTATGTTCTATATATATAAATTTTTATTAAAATATATAGAAATTTTTATTAAAATCGAATTTTTTAAAGTATACAAATTTTTGTTGAAAAAATTACTGATTGTAATTTAGATTTATAAAAGACATGTTTTAGATTAATAGATTCAAATAAAAAAATTAAAAATCATGATCTTTACTTTTTTCTTCACAATTTCATCTATATACACAATAACAATTTAATTTACATTAATTTAATACACATTATTATTATTTAATTTTAATTTTTATTATTATTATTTAAATTTATTTTTTTTATACATTATTTAGTAAACAAACTAATCCTTCTAACATTTCAAAAAAATTTAAATCATTTGATTCAATTATTTTATTTTAAAATTATTCTATTTTAAAATATATGAATACTTTTGTTTCTTATTATGTATATGACAACTAGAAATTTATTATATTTTATATAATATATTCATTACAATTATGTATTTAATAACATATGTAATTGTATTGTCTAACCTAAAAATTTTCGAATTGAAAAGTTTTAAATCAACAACACTACTGTTGATATTCATCATGTACACGCGCGTAAATTTCAAATGTTTTCATTTCAATTCAATATCGAAATTAATTTAATTTATAATAGTTAGAAACATTTAAAAATTAGTTTATATAAATATATAAAAATTTTCTCTTGATCAATTATATAATAAATATAATTATTTAATAATTATTGTTATATGAAAAAATTAAAAAAAATAATATCTAATATTATATTATATCTAATATAATAAGAATATTGAATATACATAAGTATTATTAAATTTTAAATAATTATGTCATTTTTGTAATTCATTTAAATACTTTTCTTCAATTCATTTTTAAAAATGAAAATCATTAATATTTTTGAAAACATAAAAAAAAAGATTATAATCCGCACATAAAAATATTTTAATACAACAAATGTTATGAGATTATATAATTAGACTTCCTATCAGAATATTCTCTATTAAAAATATGTTACAGATCTAGAAATTTTCTGTTATAATCGTCTATCAATATATTTTTGATAATTTAATTCCACTTTTTAATTGTTTAATTGGAAATGTTTCACTGCATCACAATGCAACTTACTCTATTTTAAATTTTCAATTAATAAGAATTTACAATAATAACTTTTGTGATTTTACTATAGCAATACCACTTGTTTGAAAGTAAGTAGTTCACTCTCATATTTTCTTCGATTATATATAAAACTACAGTATACACATTATATTTCTGACTGATCAAGTACCAATTAACTTACTTTTATCGAGATTTTTTTTTTTTTACATTATATAAAATGTAAATGTCTATTGATGATATTCTAATTTTTTTACTTATCTTCTAATGAAAATTTGCCAAATAATTATAATAATCAAAAAATTAATATAACATTTCTTACGAAATTTTTAAGACATAATTATTATTTCATAATTAAATCAATATTATAAATTATTAATATTCATTTCAAATATAAAATACAAATACAAATACTCATAAAATAAAATACAAATACTCATACAAATAAAAAGATTAAAATTTAATAATTTATTTAAAGAAATTAAGATACACTTACTTTGTAATAAACATTCATTGGCTATAATTTTCATTCTATTTTTTATGAATTAATTTTTGTTATGATAAATATACTAATCTTATTCATATATAGTATTTTTTTTTATTTTTTTATATTATTATTATTTTCGAACTTATTGGCTTCTTAATATTTAAAAATTATAAAAAAATTGTAATAAAAAAACTTAAAAAAATTAAATGTTATCACATATAAAGTATTAATATATTTGCGAGATATTTTTAAAACGTAATTTTATTTCAAAGCAAATATAAAAACTGATTTATAAAATTGATTTATTAAATTATAATCAATTGAAATTAAATGAAATGAGACATAAATAAATAAAAATGAAATAAATATAAATAAAAATGAGATAAATATAAATATAAATAAAAATGAGATAAATATAAATATAAATAAAAATGAGAAATACATAATAAAATAAGACAATTTTATTTGACTCTTCATTTAATTAACTTAAATTGTTTATAACTAAAGAAATAAACTTGATATTTTTATATACTAATTTTTGTGTTTCTTTTGGTTTCTAAAATCAATTTTTCAAATATGTTTCACAAATATATTAACATTTTATAATTTTTCCTTTCATTTATTATAATAACTATTAGAAGATAAATGAAAAAAAAAAAAAATAATAGTGTAAAAATAAAAAATATTTCATTAAAATAAATTTTTATATTTTTTTTTAACAAATTTTTAAAATTAAAAATTGAATGAATTTAAAATATTTGACAGAAATGTATAAAAAATAAGTAATAATAAAATAATATTGAATTACAAAATTTGATGAAAAATATTTACATTATATATCTTACATATTTTTCAAAAATATAGTAAGGATTTGTTCTGATGACAGTAATTATATTATAATATAATATTTAATAATCTGTAAGGAATGATAATTATAAATATAACATTATATAATAGTATTAATAATAAATATTATAATATTATATAATTGTAATGATTATGATAATTTTTATTTTAATATCAAATGTTATATCTAACATATTATAACTACAATCAAATAATAGTGGTGATATGAATAAAATATACAATATTAACACTCATATATAATTATTAAATTGCAAATATAGATTATATTAATTGATGATAAGTTAAAGTAAATTAACTATTTTAATATTAAATAAGAAATTATTTCATTACAAAAATTAAAAATTAAAAATTAAATATTCAATAATTAAAATTCTATTTTAATTTTGAATATATTATTATTTGAGTTTACTATTAATTAAAGAAAATATATAAAAATTAATAATTTCAAAAATAATATTAATTATGTAACATGAAAAATTTTGTTTAAAAAATTTTTTTCAAAGAATTATTTCAAATCATTGTTTACATTTAAATTTCATTAATTTTTTCTTTATATATCATATTAGAGTTTATATCATATTATATAAACTCCTATATATATTTTGTAAATAATAAAAAATATTTTGCAATTAAATAATAAAAAATCATACTTTACAATTTTTGATATTGTTTAAATATTACATTTATCTAACATATTTTAATTAATACAGCAAATGTGCTTTCTTATAAATTATTAAATTATTAAATCTAAAATATAATTTTTTTTTAAATTTAAAATATCTTTTAAATATGTAAATTTGTGTAAATAACAAATAATTTGAATTACTAATTTGGAAAGATAGATAAAAAAATATTTAGTTCTTTGTTTCTTGGCCTACTTATATTTTTTGTATTTTTTTTTTTAAATCAATTTAATTATATACAAGTGTAAAAGTTTTCAAGAATAAATTTTTCTTGTAATATATTCCTATTCGATTTTATATTTAGTATTACTACATAGTTTAATAAATTTATATTTTTACATGAGTTAATTTTTTAATAACAATTTATAATATTAAATGTAATTTGAATTCTTAAAAATAAAATAATATTAACATAAATGTATTAACAGAAATTAAAATATATGACATTGTTGTCAAATAAAATAATCGATTAAAATCGTAAAACATTCATTTTATTCTATTTATTATCAACTATCTTTTCTTTTGTTTACGCTAAAACTATTCCGTAGTTTTCTTTATTCTGCTTTTTATTTGCTTAGAAAAAAATTATTGAAAAATTATTGATAAATTTTACAATCGCAATTGAGCAGCTGCTACAATATTAGCTGTACAAAAACAGAAATGCGTTACAATTAATTACAAGCATCATATCATGTATTAGAAGTGCATTTTTTGCGGATTATTTATTATATGTAAATCTGATATATTTTTGTTATATTTTTATATTTTTTATTATAATACAATAACTTAAATAATTTTCTTCCAATATAATTTTCATATGATTTAGTGCAAAAAATACATAGTTACTATTAACATTGTCACAAGTGATATTCATCTATCTTCAACTTCGAAATCATCATTACTGTTAGTATTCATTGAGGAACGTAACAATAAAATGTATATGTATACAATTAATATACATATGTAATTATATATATATGAATAATAAAACGTAATTTATATTTTCATAGTTTCCAGATATATATATATATGCTATTCCTTCAATCGAAACTTCTGCATTGCTTTTATCAGAAAAGCAAATCAAAAAAATTATCATTAGAAAGAATCAGACTAATGATTTTCATACGTAATTTAATTACAGAAATGAAATTATTAATTTTCTCAATTCTAAAAATTATTTAATATTTCTTTAGTATTTTATCTTTTCATGATTAACAATTTTGAGTTAAAAGAAGAAAAAAAGAACGAAGAAAATTTGAATTTGTTCAAAACCACATAATAAAATAATTGCAGAAATTCTAAATTTTTAATAGGATATATATTAAAATTATTTTTAAGAACAAAAATAATCAACTGCAGTTGAATGTTTACAACGAAACGTATGAAAGCATATACATGATTAAAATTACGGCTGTAGTTAGTCAAACTAGCTGTACACGTTTGGGTTTACAAAATATTGCAATCTTCACAACTAGCATGTCCAGTCTTCGTAAATATTACTGCACATCGCATAAATTTCTTATTTATTATCAATTTATAGTAATTATTCGTCGATGTTGAAATGCGCTTTAAAAAACGTGGCATCATCAGAATAATAACATACTCATAAGAGCTACATTTAATACATTTCTTTAAATTATATAATATATCAATATAAATTATCGTTCCAATTGTGTTGTAGCAATAATTCTAATAGACTAACTAATTAACTTGAATTAAAATCATCAACTTGATATATTTTAAGAGTTTTGTATTGAACTTTAAAATTCTTTCTTTTTTTTTAAATAACTATAATAAACTAAACTCTTAGAAAAAAATTTATTTATTAAATAAATTGAATAAATCGCTCCATCTTCTCTCAATATTTAGTAACATTCTTAGGTATTGTGGAGCCATGAATTAAAACGTCTCGAAGAAAGACTTTAATCACAGTTACAGACAGGAGAAAATGTTGAATAAAAAATGATTCATAAATAATAAGAAATCTTGTAATAATATCGTGGCAAGTTATCGCGTAAAGTGTGCAGTGAATAAAAAATAAAAGAACAAAATTATGAAATAATTAATAAAACAAAAAAAAGCTTGATTAATGAAATTGTGAAATGACCCTTCTTTTTAAATAATTTTTATCTTCCAATATATTCTATATAATTTACTCAAATTGTGATGAATTTGCTATATTCAATGTGTTTTTTCTTTTTTTTTTTTCTGATATTGTAATTGAGATTACTTCGTTATTAATGTTAATCTATTATTACATATTTGCAAAATTTCATAGAATCTCAATAAAATATATATACGCATAAAACACACAAAGAATATTTAAACAAAAAATTTCAGGATGTTTGGAAGACAATCCAGAAATTTTAGAAATTATTTTATGGATATTTTGTAATAATAATTTTGCTAAGAAATATATAATTTAATTATATCGTTCTACTTAATTAAAGTTTAATTAAATTACATTTTATATATAAAAATGCATTAAGAAATGATATAAAATTTTAATTAATATTTATTATTTCGCAAAAAAATATATAGAATGTAAGATTACAATATTAATTATAAGTTTGCGTTTCAAACATCCTGAATGTGATATAAAATAAGAGTATATATAGACAATTTTTTTCTGATTATGGGTATTAAATATTACATCACGTAGAACAGTACATAGTGTTTCTTTGGGTCTTGTTATATTCAATTACAAAGATTTTACGTGGCAGGATCAAATAACTAAAATTTCGAGAAAAAATATACTGTACAGAAGTAGTACGCTATATTTATAAATACCTTTTTGTTTCCTGATACGAGTTTTCTTCATTCTGCAGTTGTTATCCGTATTTCTTTATTTAGTACTAAAATATGCATTTAAATAAATTCTTGTTCTTGACAGACTCGAATGTAATGAAAACAGTGTTTTCAAAAATATTTGTTAAATAATTGCCATTGATCAGCAAAATATTTACAAACATAAAAATTGATTTCGTAGAGAGAAGTGTCTAATCCATTGTTGGAGCATAGTGGAATCAATGTAGTACCATCGATCCAGCCATTACGTAAAATCCCTGTCGATTCGAAAGGGAGAACTTCCATGATGCATAAAGTATCATTGCAGGGTCATTACAGTCTCTTAATCCATCGTATACAAAGCGTAAATTTACCTTTCGTTAACATGATCATAATATTAAAACTGTGTACTATCTGGCTGAAGAACCGAATACAAACGCATTTCCAACCATCGTATATCAGACGTTGCTTTCTTACTATAGAGTCGTATAAATTATATGAGTGGCTGCCTAATTTTATTCTTTTTCGTATGATGAAAATTTAATTGTAAATTTTAATGGCCTTTTCGAGGTAGTTGATACGAGAGCGCTTTGGCGCTTTGTTGACGTGTTCTAGGCCAAGCCAAGGCCTAAGTGGCGATGTGCCTGCATTTAAAAGTGGATAAACTACAAAATTTATTTTTCATCTATGTCAATTTAAAATTTTTTTATTATAAAATAGTTCATTGTTTCATTTATTCTGATATTTTATATCAATTAATTTATATATATATATTCTTTTTTTAATACTTTTTAATACTTACTTTGATTTGGATGAATACGAAAATCTGCAAGATCCATGCAATATTCTGGCGAATCCATAATAAAGTGTGGTTTACCCATTGTTACCACCGCGAACTTAAACTTCAAAGTTTTTTTATGAATTCTCATAAAATATCAAATAAAATTAGATTAGGATGCCTACCTTTTCGAATTCTTTTTCCTGTACTCCCAATTTCTTCAATAATCTTTCCTTCATTTTTGGAAAAGGCTCACCCTATGTAGATACAAATAAAAATATTTGTAACTGAAATTAAATTATTTATTTAGAAATTTTTTTTGTTATTATACTTACATGTTTGATTTTAAAGAAAAAGGGAATACCAAATGTTGAAAAAATATCTTTATGGAAATGTGCAACAGGAACCAACATTTCATCATCTGCCAAATTTAATTCATCATTTGGAATTTCTTCTATCCTGTATAATTTTGTACCAGATGTATTTAAGTTATCTAAAGGTACATCTTCTCTTGGACCAGGTGAGACTTTACTAGAATTAATTTCTAATATCCTTAATTTTCCGGATCCATTTTCTGATAATTCTACTTGTTTTTTAGCTTCTTCAAGCAATGTTGCTACTGTTCCGTTTTTGTTAGGATAAAGAATAATTTCCTTTTCTTCTTTAAGAGATGGACCAACCCATATACATTTGAATTGCTTTTTATTTTCAAGTTCATTTACTCTAATACTAAGCTGTTGATAATATAATTTTTTCGCTTTAGGTTTACAGTAAGAAACCAAATCTTTCAATGAACCTTCAAATGTACATTTTAATGGATGTCCAGGTGAATCTTTGTAACTGAAATATAAAAAATATAATATTTATATATGTAAATTTAATTATAATATTAATTATATTATAATTAATAAAAATAATAATAAATATATATTTATATAAATTATAATTATAATATTAAATATTACATTATATTTTCTTACGTTTGACATTTAAAGAACTGCAGAAGATAAGGATCTGTACCAAGTCTCTGTGCCACAGCTCTTGCCATTTGGTCATATGTCATTCTTAATGAAAGTTCCATTGTAAAACCAGTATCATTAGGAATCGTTTTATCACAAAATGTAACTTCTACTCTATGAAATAGATCTCTAAAATATAAAATTTTCATGTTAGATTTTTTGTGAAAAATATCAAATTTCGTAAGCAATCCTAACTTACTTAAAATATTCTCTACATGTTGGAAGCTCATACATTTGATTGTCTCCTTCTTTTTGAAAAACAATAATATCTCCATCCATTAATTCTTCAAGAACTTTTTCTAATGGTTCTGTTAGATTATCTATTTTTTCTACCAAATTTGGCTTAATTTCTTCATAAAGAGCTAATTCCGTATCAGGTGGAAAACCAGCTCTCTCATTTAAAATTGGTATAAGTTCCTCTGCATAAAATCATAATAATAATTATTTCTTACTGCTGTGAGATAAAAAATAAATTATTAACTAACAATTGAATTCTAAATTAATATTTAATTAAAATATTTCCAGAAAATCTATAAATATTACAAACAATAATTATATAAATTATATAAATATATAAATTATATAAATTTTTTTTATTACTTTTAATATTGATAAAATAATATTAAATAAAAAATAAAAAACAAATTAAGAAAAGAAAATTAATTAAAATAAAACTTACGGACTTTAGCTGTGACAGGCATATAATGATGTCCACAGTAATGAATCTTTTTATTTTTAGGATCATATAATTTAAAAAATAAGAGAACATCAGTATCTTTATCGAAAGGTGGTAATGCTGTTAAATCAGAATCTGGAGGAACAAGTTCAACAAATACATTCCAAACATTCGGGTTTTCCGCGCATTGATAAATAGATTTTTGAAGATCATTTTCTAATTCAATTGGCATTGGTCTACAAGTTTGATTTGAACGTACATTCAATGGCCATAGACGAATTTGCTCTATTGGATATTTCTGTAGAAATAGAATGAATTCCACAAGATTAATTATTTCAATTTCATAATATTTTAACTCCATAAAATCTTGTTACTCTTAAGTATAAGTTTTCAATCACCTACCGTATTTGTAGATGATCACAACAATATAATATATAATCAAATAGCAGCACGTATTATGAAGTCACACCAATATTTCAATCAAATAATTAAAAATATCGATAAAAGAAAATATCGATACTAATATATTTTAATATAATATGATGAGAGCAATAGCATGAAAAATTTTTCAACACTTACCAAGCTATCACTCAGCAATTCGAGAAACTCGTGCAAGGTACACTGCTTACGTACGCGAAATACACGATACAAAGCATGTTCTGGATCATACAAGTCATTCCCTTGGTGACCGTCAAAATTATCCTCAAGAAGGACGTTGACGGTTATATACAAGTATGCTTCTGTTCTTTCCTTTCTTCGTATTTGTTCCAGCCTCTTCTCCTCTTGCAGCCTCTCCACCAGCTAGACCAACAAAATTAAAATTATCCATATATGTACTAAATTCATCTCATTGGTAATTTTTCCTCATCTGTCTTCTAAAATTTAAACTTTTAGAAAAGCAGTGTACTAGTATCATGCTTTTGAGATTCGAGAACAAATAGTATTCGAAACATCAAAAGAATGAATTTTGTTTGTCCTTTATATAATTTTAATTTTGTTCATCTGCCGCAATACAGACTACTACGTCAAACAATTACACAATGAAAATTATTCAGCTGTGAATGATGGTTACATACTTCATAAATTAATACAAATAATATTAAAAAATAAATATAATATTTAAAATATTAATGAATCACAGGGATGATTTTTAATGGTTATAATAATTTATAAAATTTATTAAATTATAATCCTATAAATTTCCTAATATTTTTATTTTATCTATAGATTAGTTTTAAATTTTGATTAAAATATATGCTCAGTTAAATTTTATTAAAATCTGATCTATTAAATAATTTACACTTATCCCCATTCTTTTCTCATTATTCAATCTTCTAGTCTTTGTTTTTGATTTCAGATTTGATTTTGGATAGATAAAATAAAAATAGATATAATGAAAAAAAAATAAGATAAACATTAGCAGAAATACAAAAAAAAAAAAAGGAAAATATCATGCAATAAAGAAAAATTTATTTTCTTTAATTTTCATTTAATTTTTATGAAAATTGTATCATGAATTGTTGAGATACTTTCAATTAGAATGAATTCATAATGTAATAGTGAAACATATATAATAGAATGAAACATAATGTAATAGTTTTAATGTTCAAATCATTATAAATAACTATAGATAATATTGAATTTTAATTATTAATAAAATGAATCCATTTTCATGTCATGATTAGATTTAGTTTAATCAAAAAAATCTCAACAACTAAGTTCTCATAATATTTAATAATATTATTAAAAATAAGACAAAAATTATAGATAGTGAAATTTTCATTGCTAATTTCTTTTTTTTTTTTCAACATCCCCTCAGATCTTGACCATGACTGTGTAATGCGTTCTATTTTGTTTAATTATAACTCTATATTCTATAATATCCTTTTGTTTAATGAATTATATTTGAATCAATTCTGAAAAAAAAGTGTAATATTGTTCGAAAAAATTTAATTACTGTTTCGAACTTAATTAAATTTAACTGAGTCTTATTTTATATAAAGTTTCATATTAAAAATATATTTTTTGTTAAAATAAGAATAATATAATAATATAAATACTGATAAACAGTATGTACAAATCTCAATTATCATACTTGTATATTATGAATATTTATCAAAATACATGACCATCATTTATGCCAAATAATAATAAAAATGTAATGTATAACTATAGTAGTGTGGAGATGCTTCACATTTGAATTATTATTATGCGGATGTTTTAAATAATAATATAGCTATACTTTTAACAAGTAAAATATAAAGATGGTAGCAAATTAACTAATGTGATTTTAATGTTTGAAATTCTCTAGTATTCAATAGTTTATTCTATATCTTTTCATTAATTTTATATCTAAGATAAAGATTAATATTATATAGGTATTTTATAGTTATTGTGAAATATATATATATATATATATTCACTTTGTTCATGAGGCATTGAATTTTTCTATTTATTAATATGTAACAACAAATAAATAGATAGCATCTGTTAATGGTGATACTGACTATTAACATTGACAAAATTTAATGAATTAACGACTCGATTAATTGATTTAGACCTTATTACAAGGTTCGATATCCTAATTTTATTATTAACGTTGATTCAAAATATTAATTCATAAAAATCATAAATTTGATTAATATAAATCACATTTCACCTCACTCACTAAATCTTCATTAAATAACAAATACACCTTAGAAGACGTATTAAGGAAGAAACAGACATTAATAAATCCTACTCATAATTCATTTTCTCTTTTTCCACAATATTATCTATTTCATGAGTTTAAAACTCATTATTTCAAATCAGATTTTGAATAATTATTTCACTCTATTAACTAATAAGTCTTTCCTGCCAGTATTTTTCTTATAATTATTCACACATTTTCAACCTATTTTGCGATATGTCTGTGCATTTGTTACCCAAAGCTTTAGAATACTACAATACAATTATTTTTTTAGGTATAATATCATACAATATTTATTACAATAAACATTTCAAAACGATTCTAAGGCTCATCATGATAATAGCCTAATAATCAGATTTATGCCAACCCGATTGCAATTTTTAAAATACCTGAAGTGCAACGCGTACATTAATTATAGCTGTATAATCTTTAGACAACTAATATATAAATATAAAATTTGTAAGTAATGAAAAAAATAAATTAGAAGAATCAACAAAAATTTCATTTTTACATGACTCAATCGTCCATACAAAAAAATCCTCTGTCGAAAAGATAAAAATACTTTCATTTGAATAAAACAAATCTCTATATATAACATTAATTAGTAAAGATCTACTGATAATATACATTTCAGACAACTGTAATATAACATTTTACATTGATTAATTAATTGATTAATCATATTAGAACAAAATATTTTTGTATATAAACTTTAATTCGATGTATGACGTAAAGAATTTTTTCCTCTTTTTTAAATATAAAATAAATATCAGCAAAATAATGCGCGCGTAACACTTTACGTCACACAAAGTGTGACATATTACATGCAACATGTACCTGAAAATGGAGACAATGTATACAATATCAACATTTGGTGATATAACAGCATGAAGCTGATAACGCTATAAATTTCTGGTTATTAAAAAATATTAAGAGAAATTTTATAACAAATATTTGAAAATATATATATATGTATGTATAGGTGCTAAAAAAAATATTAATTTATTAAATTTAATTTGTAGATATTATTTTCTGATTTAATTCATATATCCAAAATATTGAATCTATTCGAATATGTTCCTATGTTATTAAACTCATTTCATCTTCGTATTTAACTTGATGTAATGTTTTATGAATTTAATGATTTTCTATGTTATGAGCTAAAATTAGCTCAAAACATATTTAAGAAATGGAAAGTTTTGTTGGAAAAAATTCAACCAATTTACAACTCTTTCCATTTTTTTAAAAATCATGAATATAGAGATTTGGATTTCGAGAATTTTGCGTGCACGGACGAAGAGTCGTAGTCTCTGTATGTGAGTCTTTAATTGAGTCAGTCGCGTCTTTGTCACGTTCAAGGTCGCTCAACTCCTGGGAAAGCTCTCTTTGTAGGACGTTTCTGACCTCTTGAGGTATATCCTCTTCCTTAACTTCTTGTAAGACGTTTTCCAACTCAGAGTCCCTTATGTACACCAACATATAGGCATTCGTACAATGTTTCACAGCTATAGACATATCCTCATCTTGACCACCATAATTATGTTCAATAGCTTCTTGTTTTGTACACCTTGAGACGACATCATCGTCGAATTTGCACCACTGTTTCAAGATTGAGTATACATAATCAATGGTATTCCATTTGCATGGAATTATTACTTAAAATTATTTAAAAACAAAATTAAATTGAAAAATATATAAAATTATTTTTAATAAAAATAAAACACATAAACGATATATGCTATTAGGAACAAAATTATAAATTATAAATTATAAATTAATTATAAAATTATAAATTATTTTAATATAATATAATTATTTTATTATTCTATATTTTCATATTTATGTATAATATAAAAACTACACATACTTTTCCATCACCAGCTGGATTGATAAATACAACATAATGTCCACCATGATTATCTCCACTATGAACTAAGACTGCATGCAATGTGTAATCTGCACTTGTTGTTTCTTTATTTTGTAAATATTTGCCAAGACTTATTTTTTCATAAAATTCAAACCTTAATAAAATAATATATAAATTTATAAAGATTAAAAATATAATAAAAAATAAATTTTACATAATAATAACTTATTTATATATATAATAATAACTTACCTATCATTAAATTTCACAGAACAATCTGTAACTGGATCATATTGAAATCGCATTAAATGTAAATGCAATACTGGTGGAAATGACGAAAAGATAACACCTTTTTCCGCCTCTTGTAAACCATTTTCTCCCGCATCATATTTATTATCACCATCCAGACTTTCAGTACTCACATAATCATTAAACGACTCATAAACTAAAATTAATTTTTAATATAATATAATATTTTATATAACACAAAAAACATGAAATTTTTATCTAATTAAAAGATTTCTTCACATATATTACTTACTATTTTTCTTTCCTTTAATATTTAATTGTATATCATAGAAAGTTTCAACCCTAGTTGATTTATAATCAATATTTTTACACTTGATAAATGACACCATTTTTCCTTCAAATAATTTTGGCACTGTACCTTCTACACATGTACCTTTCATTTTACTTTCCAACTTATCTAAAAGCTATAATAATTATTAGTAAAAATATATAATAATAATAATAATATAAATATATAATAATAATAATAAAATATATAATAATAATAATAAAATAATTAATAATAATAAAAATCCATTATCTATTTACAGAGATAAATAATTATTAAGTTAAGATATTTTAAATTAATATGTTAAAGATATTATAAGTTTTATAATAATTATAATAAATTAATAATAATAATAAACTAATAGTATAATAAGTTATAATAATAAACTAATTCCTTAACAGTATTAATTCCTTACCACACGTAAAAATTCTTGTACATCATGTTGCATAAAAGAATCCAATGTTTCCCAACCAAAACTTTTAGTTAATTTTTTTGTACCTACTGGTTTATCAGAGAATTGCAATTCATGAAATACCCTTTGTAAAGCCAAAGCAACACTTTTACTAGAATCATCACTTTCAGTCGGCATTTTGTAGACTGCTTTACGTAACTGAAAATATAAAAAAAGTAAATGACTAAATATTTGCATTGCAATTACAAAAATTTTAGACTCTAAAAAATAAAATTGCTTATTAATTTTGAAAAATATTGTAAAATTTATTTTACTTGAGCTAACCTGATAATCTCATAATATCCATATTTTGTTGTGTTCCACTATTATTTTATATTAATATAATATACACAATATGCATTGTAATAAATTTTAAATTATAAATTTAATTTACAAATTTTCAAATATTTAAAATGATTTTATTAATTTACCTGATTAGTAAAATACAAAGTTTGAAGCAAAGAATTCATATAGCATGTAGCACCTTGATTTTTTAAACCTACAAATCCTGTATGCTTTTTACTATCCCAACTGACACCATGTGGAGCATCAGCCATGACATGAACCTATTTTAAAGAAATAAATATTATAATATTTTTATAATATTATAAAAACAATTTAAAAACAATTTAAATATATTTAATATAATTTTTAAAAATTTTATAGAAAAATGAATGTGGAATAGAAACTAATGATATTTATTTAATGATATTTATCTCATAAATCTAATTTGAAAAATTAGTTTATAAAAGAATCAAAAAGTTAAAAATTTCATCATATTTTAATTGAAAATAATTTAAATTAAATAACATGAGCATATAGTAAATAATGAAAAATTTAAAAATCTGTATATTTAAATTTAAAACAAAATTTTTATATTATTTTTTTTTAAATATTTATAACATCACTAACCTCAAGTGTAATAGAATCATCTTTAATAAAACCTTTATCAGGATCCAAAACATCTTGCCATGTCATAAAATGACTAAATCCCCAATCATTTTCTTTACTATAGAAAAGATGTTGAATCTCTAAAATGAGAATTATACTTAAATATATTTTAAAATATATAATAATATGAGAAGTTATAATATATAAAATCTAAAAAATTAAAAATTAAATGAAATTAATCAATAATTTACTGGAAATAAAATGTGATATAGATTATATATTAATATATTAATATATAAATATATTAATATACTAACTTCTACTAAATGGTTCCTGTCCTTCCTTACAAGAAAGTAATCGAAGATCTGCAACTGCATAACAACTCCACGATGATTCGCTTTCTCCATTACATTGCAAGAAGAAACCAAGTGATTTTTGAGGAGCTCTATCTTGTGTTTGACTTGATCTTGGCATTACCATTATCTTCCATGGTAAATTACGAACATAACATGGAGGTGATAACTGAGTTTCTTTCATTTTAGAAAGATTTTCCACTGTATAGCGAAATGTTGCTTCTGATCTTGCTTCGTCTATTAAAAAAATATTAATAAAATTTAAAAAAACGAAAAAATTAAAATTTAAAAAATTTTTTTTTAATTTAAGATATTATAATAATTATTTTAATAACTATACTAATTAATCTATTTTAATAATTCATAACTAATATTTTCAAATTTTATAATATATTGAAGAAAAGAAACATTAAACAATTTTTAAATAATATAAATGATTTTTTATTTTTTTATTTGAAAATGTATAATAAAAGAATTAAAAAATTTTATTTTTTCTTATTTACATAAAATGCTATTTAATTATATTTTATATTAATAACTGTTTCTTATTAAAGTATATTTAAATTTTTATTATTATAACAGAAGTTTTCTGAAGATTATATAAAAAAATTATGTTATTTTATTATTTACTACAAATTATAATATTATAAACTATAATTTTTGAGTTCTTTTCTATAAACTTAATTGTTAATATAATTTAAATAATCTATTAAAAATAAAAAATTATAGTATTTTTTATTAAAATTTGTATGAAATTAATTGTTAATATAAAAATTATTAAATTATAAAATATAAATTATTAATTATATATATTTTTTATATAAAGTTAAATATTATATTTAATTCAGAATCAAAAATATTATCAATAAAATAAATTCTTTAAAAATATTTTTTTTCCTACCTTCCTCCATTTCTTGATCTTGAACTATACAAGCTAATTCTGATTCTCCGTTCATAGGACTAGTATCATTGCCATCTCCTCCACCATCATTTGGTGTTTCTAGAAGGTTAAGACATCTATTACTGCAAAATTTTTAAAAAATTGCTTTTTGAAAAAAGCTTTTAGAAATTTAAAAATAAATTGAATGGATAAAATTACATTTTACGATGAGTTATGCACTGTTTTATATATGATATATAAATTTTTAACATTAGTGTACTTTATATTTTTTATACATGAAAGATCGCACATTACCAAATATAATAAATACTTTTGTGCTGTAGATTACCTAGATAGATAACATTAAATATGAAACTAAAAAATTTAATTAAAATTTTATAATCTTAATAAAATGATTTACAGAAATATCCATGTGGTAATTTATACAAATACTTAGTGAAAAATGCTGTGTCTGATTTTAATCATTTTGACATAATTAAATAACAAATGAATGTTTTTACCAAATGAAGAACTACACATTTATAAATTGTTAAAAAAATTAAAATATATTCAAAATATTTCTATTAATATAGTAAAAAAAAAAAAAATAAATTATAAATTATATAAAATATATTTAAAATAATTTATCTAAAATATTTTCATTTTATTTTTTTTTATCACATTTTAAATAATTTGTAATATTTTTTATACATACTATATACTATATATATATATTTTTTTTTTTTATTTATATGTATCTAATATGTATATATTAGATATTATGTATTGATATTCTTATAATTCTTATAATTCTTATAATTGATATTCTAAATCTATTATAAAAGATATAAATAATTGGATATTACATATATAACTTTTAATTTTATTTTTTTTAATATAAATTGTAACTATATAATAAATTAATAATCTAATATTAAGTCAAAATTATTCAAAATGTAATATCTTTGCAAATTATATTAACATAATATAATATAAAATATTCAAATTGCAATAATTATTTATATTTTTAATTATAAATTCAATATAATTTTTATTTTAATTTTCTTATTTTAAATTCTATTTAAAATAAATATACATACATATGGAAACAAAATTTATTATAAAATGTTCATATTAACGTATAATGTTCGAAGTATTTTCCATAACCTTCAATATAAAAATCAAAACATATGAAACTAATTTAAAATTATAAAAATTAAATAAACTATTACAAATGAATGAAAATTGTACCTCCTTCTTGTGTATCCATTTCTTCAACTTCATTAACCTGAACTGGTGCCAGGTTGAGTTGTTTAAGATTTTCTTGATCGTTAACGTGGTTCATCGCAATGCCGATATTGATGGTCGTCTTGATTGCGCCGGGAACCTCGGAGGCGGCTTCCGCCGTCGAGGTTACTTCTGAAGTTAATTTAACTGATGTAACTATGTACGAATTGCGAGCAAAAATTGACTGTTGTCGTTCAATAAACTGATTATTTTCGTCAGGGACGGAAGATTTTTGCTCAAGCAAATTTTGCTCTTGTACTTGTTCAATTCCAATCGTAACCGGGTTCGCGTCACTACTACGACTTGAGAGCGATGTCGTTTTACCACACGACGATTGATATTTACTTGTGATGAGCCCAATTTCTGCGGCTATCAAATGCCCCCGCTTTTTCGGGGGACGCCCACAACATATATTCCACCCTTGTGCAATATCTTCGTAATTTCTACGTTGTCCCTGCTTTTGTCGCTACAACTATTTCTTTTCTTATTCCTGTAGTATCTATCTTGCTCACACTTTTCACTTTGTACTCCCTCACTCTTTCTCGACCGATCCGAGAAACGGTTTCCGCACCGCGGGACCGGCGCGCTACTAATCGTGAAATCTACGTACTTCTTGCAAACTTCAGCTCCACTATGTTTCGATCTTAATACTCTTTCCAACCTCTGCCAATAATTCTCCGTGCTAACAAATTTTTTTATCAGTGTTTCCAGTTTTTTAATTTGATTACTGAAACACTCAGCTGATGTTTTCACGAAAAAAGATAGAACGATCTGCTTTGATGATCGTCTCTCAAATCTCTTTTACGTGAAAATAAACAAAATGGCGACGAACTACACTGTTCTATTGCTTACCTCTTGCCTGTCCGTTCTGCATGCAATTCGTATAGGCCACGAAATGATTCTTTAGATGGCATACTCAATACTATATTTTAGTTCATTAATAAGAAAAGAATAAGGATAATATGAGTACAAACTGTTCTATATATATTTTTAAGAGAATATTATATTTTTGTTTTTATACTTTTAAATTTATATTAAGAACAACAAATTAATATTTTTTTTATCAATTATTAAAGAAAAATAATAATTAGTTACTTACTAACTTTAAAAAGTATTTTTTAAAGCTAATTATAGTTACAAAAAAAATTGAAATTAAATATTATATATTTATTATATATTAATTTTTATAATTGATATCATTTTTATAGTAATGAAATACATATGTCTCAAAAATTTCAAAACAAAAATATAAGAGTTGTATAACATTTAAACAATACAACGAATATTAAATACTTATAAAATTTTATTATTTTACTTATAATATATAAAAATAAAATTTAAATATCGCGCTTAATATTAAATCTATATATTGTTTATTGAATCAGTAACAGAAGTAAATAAATCAAATCATTATTTAAATATATAAAAGAGGAAATAAAAGTATAAAAAAATTTTTTTACATAAATAAAATTATAATGACATTAATAAATTGAAGAAATTTTTAATAAAATTAAAATGTTAATTAATTATAATCAATATGAATTATTGCATTTATGCAAATCATTAATATATTTTATGATTTATATCTAAATTAATATTATATATTTTGTACATTCAAAAATATTACATTTTATAAATTTTTTATATATATTTATATTTCTATATATTTTTATTTATTTTATTTTATTTAATTAACTGGAATAAAATAATTAAATAATTTATTAAATTTAGAATAATGATAAAATCAAAATAAAAAAAATTATTGATATAATTACAATTAATTATTTTTATATACTATATATAATTTGATTATTTGATTATAATTCTAGATTAAATTAGTTTTAATATTAAAATATAGTTTTACAAAAATATTGTTATATTTTTGTATTAAAATAAATTTATTTTTAATTATAGCAATTTCATATATTATATTATATATTTCATATATTATATCGTATATATATAATATAATATAATATATCATATATATTATGTTATAAATACGTATAGGTTTGATTTATATTATGTAATTCAATAAATATAATATAAGAATTTATATCATTGAATTAAATTTGAAATATATATATGTACGTAATAATATTATGAAAAATGCATTCAAAATTAAAAAATTCTATCATATTACTAGATTTAATGTTAGGTTATAAGTGAAAAAAATTATTAAAAAACACTATAAGTTTTAATATTCACAATAAAATATTGCTGTATTTAAGTTTCAAAAATAAGTATTTCTAAAATTTATAAAATTCTATTTCATTTTACACACTCACACACAATATGATGTTTCAAAAATTTAATATATAATAAAGCATTTTTATAATAAATATTTTTATTGATATATTAATAACTTATAATTTCAAATATTATTAATTTATATAAATTTATAATTATATTAATTTATATTAATTTTTATATAAATTTTATTTATAATATTTTGTTATAATTTGTTAAATATTCATTATTTATTTTATTTTTTATCTTATGTTTATAAAATCCAGTTAAATATATATTTTTAAAAATAATTTTTTCTATTTAAAATTAATTTAAATAATAATAAAATAATAAATTAATAAAATATTTAAATCTATTAATTAATTATATTATTCCTGAAAGATACAAATAAAATAATTTCATTAATTAATTATATTACTTACTTCTCATATTCATAATAAAAATAACTTTTCATATATGTATGTATTATTATTAATAAATGTAATTTATATAAAATATTATCTAATTTTATATATTTTATAATATATATATATATTATCTAATTTTATATACAAATATGCATATAATAAAAATAAAAAATATCTTAAGTATATAGATTATGTTAATAATTTAATTATATATATACATGTACTATATATAATATATATAATATATATAATACATATAATAATAATAAATTTTATTACCACAATAAATAAATTATAAAATGTATAAATAATTCTGATCATTTATACATTTTATAAAAATTGATATGTAATAAATTGCATTAAAAATTATACAATAACAAAAAATTATATAACATTATTTAAATATAAATTAATCTCAATAAAATAATTGACATTTATTTCCATAAAAAATAATATTAAAGATTCTATAATAAAGAATTTTCATTAGTTATTTAAATATTTATTTTCAAAAAAAAATATTTTGTATTTATAAATATTTATATTATAACTGTGATTATCATATGTGTTAGCAAACAATTTTTTAATGAAAGATATTAATAGAAAAAAAAAAAAGAAAGAAAATATACAAAAAAAATATATAAAAAATTGGACTTTATAAATTGAATAAATATATATATAATTTATTTATTAAATTGAATTAATATATATATTGATAAAAATAAATATATTGATAATTTAATGTAGATATTATTTGAAAAAAAATATAATATTATATATAAATAAAATACTATTACATTAAAATTATACAAAATTAAAGTAAATTATTTAAAATTATTCAAAGTAATAATTATTCAATTATATTATATTATTCAATTATTCTAGTTCAGTATTTTATATATTTTAATATGTTTTCTTTATTTTTTTTTTATAATTTCTATAAAGAACAAATGATAATTTTAAAAAATAAAATAAAATAAAAATCTATTACCATAAATTTTAAGCAGATACTGGTTTTTAGTAATACATTAAATCAAAAATTCATAGAATTTATTTCTATGTATATTATTTATGTATATTATTTATGTATATTATTTATGAACTATTAACTATTAAATAAGAATTGTTCTATTGATATCAATTAATATTTAATAGATAGAAAAATATATATTTAAATTTTAGAATACATTTTTTAATAGATATAAATTCAATCAAACTAAATATGTTATTATCCATACATATAAATTGTATTCATTATGTTTTTATCTTCAATTTAATTTATATAGTTGATAAATATAAAAATAGTTGATAAAAATTTATTTTTTATAAATAAAATATTTATCACATTAAAATATTTTCTAACAAATTCAAATTTTTAAAATATAATTAAACATTATTAAATCAATAATTATTTTTTATATATATAATATTGTATTTCTGCTTCTATATTGTTTTATAGCACTTATTTTCTACTTCTAATATATATATATATCTTCAAATAATATATTACTGTACATTATAATTTAATGAATAATGAATAAAATATTAAATTAGATTATATAATAATGATAGTAAATAGTAAATAATAGTAATATATATATATATATATATATATATATATATAGCAAATATGGTTTATTTTAATAATCTTTTTAAAAAATAATTTATTATTAAATAAAATAATTAACATATATATAATTAAATAATATTAATAATTGTATTATGATAAATAATTATTAGCTTAACATTGGACAGCTTAGCATTGGACATTGAATCTTTATTTATTATAAATATTAATTGTTAATTGAAAATCTCTTTTTTCAAATATGTATAATGTTCGAAACTGTATTTCCAATATTTATATATTATATAATAAAAAGATAAATAATATATTTCTATTATAGGTTTTATAAATTTAATTAATCTTGATTATAATAATACAAAATATTTTTTTAATTCTTTTAAATTAAAATATTTCTTACTTCAAGATAAAAAAATTAAAAAATATATTCTAAAAAAACATAAAAAGAATTATTTTATGATTAATTTTACAATTGATTTAATTTGAATTTGTTTTAAATATGAATATTATAAATTATTCATTAAAATTAATTATATATTAATAATATATTATTGATATATTAAAATAATAATAAATATTGTAATTTTTTAAATTTATAATATTAAATTCAAAGATCGAAAAAATTAATAATTATAATTATTAGTATTTAAAACTACTACTGAACAAGCTATATAATTTTTTTTTTTTTTTACTATAATATTTGATAATATAATATTTTTAAGTTTTCATATAATACTCTTATCAATTTTTTTAAATATTTAGAATAAAATTAAATTTTATTATTATAACAATTTTAATAATAAAAAACTATTATAAACAATTATAATAATAAAAAAAAACTTTTTCAAGTTTAATTATGAAATAAAATTTATTATATAAATATAATTTAATTATTAAAAAATGGAAATTTCAAATATTTTTACATTGAATATAATGGATGTTCTCAATAAATTAATTATAAAATTAATATTTCAAAATATAAAAAATATATATTGTAGTACTGTAGTTTTATAATTACCAATTTTTAATATGTTCTTATATAAAATTTATATATATATATAAATGATTAGAATTAAATAAATATAATAAAAATAAATAAGTATATCAGATGTTCATTTCAATAAAATTTAACATTAATTTTACTACAAATAGTTTCATGATATTGACATAAGTACAAAAATAAAAAATGCATCATTTTTAGGAATTTCATAATTTTAATATTAATATTATTAATATTTTTTTGTTAACTTAATACATTTTAAACCTTATATTTTTTATGTAAATTACTTACTTAGAAGAAATATTCAAAAATATAATTTTTTTAAATAAAAATGATTATTACAATATTTATGTTTCTTAAATTTTTGAGTATTTTTATATTTTTTAAATAAAATGACATATATAAACATAATGATAAAATTACATACAGAGAATCTGTAAAAAAAATGATGTCTTTTATAAATATTTTAAATTTTAAAATAATGGAGTATCTCTGTTTTTATTTTATTCTTCTTCTTTATATATATTTTTTAAAAATGGTATATATAACATCATAACCAGCACTTTTACTGCTAGTTATAAGAATGGAAATTCTAATATATTATATAA